TTGATGTGATGTTGGTGGTGGTTGTTCAGGTTTTAAATGCGTGCACAGATTCTAGCTTTCTTGATGATCTTATGTTTTTTCATACCCTAGCGTGACATTTCAGGCTCTATTTCAGAAACGCGGAGCAGCGTTACTAATGGACCCATCTTTGACTCCCACTCACAGCAGTATTCAGGTGGGCACACTTCACTGCTAGCACAGCACGAGGATATCGTTAACTATGACAAATTTCACTTCACCTCTAGTTTTTCTTCTTTTTTTGGTCTCCTAATCTATTACTAGTCAGATTAAATCAGCAAGCTGGTGCTCTTGAGAAGGAACTGCTACAACAATAGTCCTTTGTGACAGCTGTGAAACATTTAAGTTTTTTTTTTCCCCCCCAGTGGCTAATTTAAGGCAAGGAATTATAATAAAAAAAAATAGCAGTCCGAACAAGAGAGTTCTGTTGTATGACGTTACTGAAATGGTGCCGTATACTCGCTCCAGGTGGTCCTTGGAGGGCTGTGTACGTCTCAACGTTATATGTCAGCATGGATGTACATAAGATGGATGAGGATGGGTGGTTAGTCATAGGGTCAGCACATATAGTTAACTGTTGTGGCAGTAAAGTTGAGCACTTGCCTACAGTTTAAAATCTTCGGGGCTCGCTGGGAATTAGGCTCCACAGCTCCTGTTCCCTCAAGAAGCAGATAGTTCTCTCCCCACTTTTTGAGGCTCCTGGTGGATAATGGCATGCTACTGCCAGTGCGCTTGGACAGCTTGGCAGTATGGTATTTGCCTGCATAGCTCTTGTTTGGTCTAGAGACTCTGCAGACCGCCTCTCGGTAACCAGCTTGATGAGAGGAAAGAGAAAAGAGGGTAGTTTTCTCCGCTTCCTTCATCTCCTACCCCCGTTTCTCTGGAGCTGGCTGGAAGGGAGTCACTGGTTTCTTTGTAGACTGAATGAATGAACATTTGTCTCCCTGCCAGAAATGTTGTTGGTATGAATCAATAAGAATGTTAATTGTGTGTACATGTATGTTTTTTGGAGACGTCTGTTGGATCTCCAGCACAGAACTTGGTCTCAGACATCGTCTGCATGTGAGGTATCAGTCAGGTTGGCCCATATAAATGCGCATTGGAGACCTTTACGTAGTCAGGCAAAGTCCTCCCTTTGAGGAGGACTCATGTGGAGGTTTCCACATGAGTATACAGGCAAAGCCATTGTAAGCTCTCTCTTACTCCAGTTTGAGCTTTTCTCCAGCTGGTATCATTGCAAACTACTGCACTGTGGATTGAGGTCGATGGCAGCATTGCTTGGCCGTGCGCAGGCTACACACAGCGTAGCTGGGCTTAGTATCGGGCGAGAACGACTTAGCTGAGGAGCCGTAAGTGCACAACAGCAACACTGAGAGACATAAAGGCAACAGATTGCAGGTTGCTGATACAAGTAACAGTTGTTGCCCTGGTGGTGGTGGTGGTGGTATGTACAGGGTATCATTGGGAATAAGCATATTTTTCGAGGTAAGATATTTTGCTACAAACAAAATTACTTTTCCTTGTAGCTACATGCAGAGCATTTATTATTATTAATTGAAAGCTAAGAGCAGAGAAGATACAAAAAGCATATTTTTCTCATAGTGCTGGTGCTTTTTTCTTCCCAAATCTTGCGTAATGTGGTCGAGAAGGTGCGGCAGATTGTTTTATTCCTTGCTCTGGAGTTCATCCCAGTCAATAATATTGATTAGTGCAGGGTGACTTGGTGTAACACGAATAACACCCCTTCCTTAATTTGAGCCTATATTTCCCAGTTCATGCCTCAGTGGTTCATGCTTGGGTGGATTCTTCAATAAGCCAGTCAGTGACAGACCTCACTGGAAATTACAGGGTCTGACATTAATAGAGGAAATGAATAATTTTCTTTTCCTGGAAATTGTGCCTCTTTTTTTCCTCCCCGTGTTTGAATTTTGTCACACTGTGACATTTTAAACTTGAACTGAAATTCCCAAATTTTTTTTTGTAAGGTTGACCTCTTTCTCATTACAGTCAGTAAAGATTTATAAACTCTATCCCCAGCTATTTCTTTGTACTTAGTGAATCCTTTTGTTAGTATAGAAAGTATCAAAAAGCTCAGTGTCCTGACTGCGCGTTTGGCAAATGCTGTAGGTGCAAGTATCCGTGGCTGTGTGGGTAGTTCCTCTCTAACCATCTTCCAAATCCAAACATGTATAGTGATCTTGTAATAGATAAGAACAGCATCCAAAATATGTTTGCTAATGCGTCTGTATGGAAATAACTGGAGGGACAGCTTCAAGTGTGGATGTGTTGGCGTCAGTGACCTTGAACAATTCTTGGACTTTGCTCTGGGGTCGCAAACAGGAAGGCCAACAAGATAAGTCGTACAAGAGCTTTTATTTATGCATTGGTTGCAGGTAATGGCCAAAGGCACAAAAACTTCACTTTGAAAAGAAGATTGGAGTTGCTTACTCATTGCTTCTGATCAACTCTTTCCAACTCAAAGATGTTCTCCTTATTTCAAGGTAGACCAATGTCAGGGTCAAAAAATGCAACGATCTGTTGGTAGTGTTTTGATTTCAAGTTCTTTGTCGCTTCCCTGCCTATAAAGCTATCATAATAATGTGATTAGGTCCTGTATTTATTATTATTCAATCGCTAATGGAGATGTCACGTGCAAAAAGGAAAAAAAAAGTATCAGCATTTAGGACACAGATTTTTCCCAAGTTCATATTTGGGGTTATTTTTTAGCCCTGCAAAAACAGGTGATACCACCAGGAAGAGAGTCTGTGCTTTATGACTGGGGGACATGACCAAAATACAGCGGCATTATGTGCTGAATTGTTACTGATTTCAAAATCAGATTTTTTTGATGCTGTCATTTGCTTGAGTGAATGGACTAGCCTATTCTCCCAAAGACCCTTAACACATGTATTAGGAAATACAAGGGATTCAGGAAATTGAGATGTGGAGTATTTGCCTTCCCCCCATTCTTTCTGCCTAAATAGCCTAGCTGAAAATAATGCAGTAACTTTGGTTCAGGTGTAATGACATGAAGGCACGTTTCGTGCCACTTGAAATCCTGCAGTCTGGGCCTCAGTTCTGTGAAATGTGCTATGAAAGTTTGCGTTTTGTTTCCGGTGAACGTGCCCAACTCAGCCAGCTTGTTTTCCCTGCAGCTGAGAAAGTCCGTGTTTGTGTGGAACCGTAACTTGGGCAGCTGTGACTGCTGCTGAGGAAGTACAGGAGTCGGAGTGGGAAATAGACTCGAAGAGATTCAATGATGTTAAATATCACAGAAGGGTTGAGGTTGGCAGGAACCTCTGGAGGTCATGTAGTTCAACCCCTCTGCTCAAGCAGGGTCACCTAGAGCACTTTGCGTAGGATGGTGTCCAGACGGCTTTTGAATGTCTCCAGGGAAGGAGATTCCACCACCTCTGGGCAACCTGTTCCCGTGCTCAGTCACCCTCCCAGTCAGGAAGTTTTTCCTCAGGTTCAGATGGAACTTTTTGTGGTTCAGTTTGTGCCAGTTGCCTCTCGTCCTGTCGCTGGGCACCACGGAGAAGAGACTGGCCTCATCCTCTCGACACCCTCCCTTCAGATACTTGTAGACATTGATCCGATCCCCCCTCAGCCTTCCCTTCTTCAGACTGAACAGGCCCTGAGGCTCCAGAGGAGAGATGCTCCAGTCCCCTCATCATCTTGGTAGCCCTCCGCTGGACTCTCTCCAGGAGTGCCATGTCTCTCTTGTAGTGGGGAGCCCAGAATTGGACACAGGACTCCAGGTGAGGCCTCCCCAGGGCTGAGTAGAGGGGCAGGATACCTCCCTCCACCTGCGGGCAACACTCTGCCTAATGCACCCCAGGAGACCATTGGCCTTCTTGGCCACAAGGGCACACTGCTGCCTCACGGTCAACTTGTTGTCGACCAGCACTCCCAGGTCCTTCTCTGCAGAGCTGCTCTCCAGCAGGTCAGTCCCCAGCCTGTCCTGGTGCCTGGGGTTATTTCTCCCCAGGTGCCAGGACCCTGCACTTGCCTTTGTCATGAGGTTCCTCTCGGCCCAGCTCTCCAGCCTGTCCAGGTCCCTCTGAAGGGCAGCACAGCCTTCTGGTGTGTCAGCCCCTCCTCCTAGTTGTATATCATCAGCAGACTTGCTGAGAGGGCACTCTGTGCCTCCATCCATAATAAAAAAAGAAGCAAGTTCAAATAGCATGCGAGTTAAAAAGAAACTAGCTTGCAAGGAACCGAAGGGTATCATCCTTCAGTAGAGGCGCAGGAGCTTTCTCTGCAGCGGACCACTGTGAAGCAGTACTCTTTAAACCCTTTCCAAGCATTGTGTAGTTAAAAATTGGTTTTATCCACGTTGATAAAACCTTGGGCCTTCAGCTTGTATGGTAGACATTTGTGTGCTTTTGAGAAAAGATGGTTTAAGCATGTACAAATGAAAATTGAGTTGTGGGGTCAGTTTTGTGCTGCTCCAAAGAGCAGCAGCTAAAGTCACTTTACCTTCATGCTAGATGTCCTCATCTGCCAGTGGGGTGGTGCTCTTTAAAAACTGAAGTTCGAATCTCTTAATGGTATCCAGGCATTTCACATCCGTGTGGTGGGTGTTGTGTTAGCACCTCGCAGGTAATAAATTGAAACTTGGACCAACTGAGGAATGTTTGTTGCAGCTAGAGAATTCTTTTGCCGCCAGCGGTGGGTCCTGTAGCTTTTAGGATGTCTGTGCTAAATCTGCTTAATCAGTCTTTCTGCAGTATTGTTGCTAACTATGGAAATAGGAACCTAAAGTAACATATAAATATTATCTGTATTGTTCCTACCTCATTAGAAATGCTTCCTCTGAGCAGCAAGTGGAGAAAGGTTGTATCTTCAGGTTAATTACTGATCTTTCACCAGCAATGAAGAATTTACAGACAGACCGAAATGTTTAATTGTCACTTATTATCCAAAAATCAATGGATGTTCAGGTTTTATTAAGCAGTTTGTTTTATGTTCTTTTCAAGGAGGACCAGATGATAACTTAATTGAAGGCGGCGGATCCAAGTTTGTCTGCAAACCAGGAGCCAGAAACATAACGATCATCTTCCATCCGCTGCTCAGGTAAGTTTTCCTCCATGCTTCTATAAATGCAAATAAGTGGAAGTAACCTAGTTTATTAGTGGACCCATTGCTGCTTCTGAGATAACATCTCATAGCAGTGTGCACGCACGTGTGTTTTTGGGCTTGCTGTAAAATTGCTCTTCACATGCGTAAAAAGTAATCATTAACTGAGCTTGCTGCAGATGCTCGTTTCATCTTTTTCAAAAGTATCACCCCAGGTGGGATTGCTTGCCTGCATGACCCCTTTTCACTGAGCAATGTAATTCATTATTGACCCAAGGTGGGAAAAGTTCAGTTGCCACCTGTCACAAGCAGTTTATCACTTACTGTCCATTATATTTAATAAAAAGGCAGAAAGCTGCTTTATGAACGGCAAGGTAAGTTTAATTCTCTGATAAACAAGTACGGTTTATGGACTGCAAATTAAGGCCCTCATCAAAAGTGCTGTGCCACTTATTACAATGGTAGAAATTCACAGGTCGTCAAGGACTGCTCAAATTTTCCTCTCACCAAGACGCTCACCTCAGATATTGTAATCTTGCTCTTTTCCCATTGTAATCTCCCAATTCGTTTACATAGTTTGGCCGGAGTTAAATAATACAAGATTTTTCTTGGTTGGTGTCCATCTTCTACCTCTACCTTTTCCTTGCAAGATTTTCCTTTAGTTTCAGACAGGACCTTCCAGACATGACCTTCCTCCTTTGCTCTGTTTGTATTACTTACCATTATCAGTCCATTGTGCAACAGGACGCGCTTCACCAGCACTAAATATAAGCAATAAGCAATGGGGATCTGGTCTTGAGGGGAAGGAGTAACTTGCCTGTGATCTTGGTAGCTGAGAACTGTGGCCATTTGTGACTTCTCAGGGCTAAAAGAGGCGGAGGACAAGTGCAATAATTCCTTTGCGAAACCAAAGTTAACGACAGTTGATGTCGTGACACTAGAGATCTGAGTAATCTTCACAAGAGCATGTGTTGTGGGGACATATTAAGACTTGTTATGTTCTTTCAGATCCTTCTTGCAAAAAGGCTACGTACACTGTACAGTCTTCATTTCTTGCTTGATGACCATAATAAATTGGATAATTTCATAACCACATTTTGTTTTACCCTCAGTCTGTCTTAAAATGAAAGCGATGCTGATAACAAATGTATAAGCTTGGGTTTTTTGGAAGGAAGTTTTGCTGCTCATTTAATGAATTAGTAATAATAATTGCTGCGAAAACAAAATTGCAAAAAAAAGTTACTTGCTAGAGTGTAGTTTATTGATTTCTTCCATTTTATTATGAGAAAAGGAAGACAGCGGTTAGGATGCAATGTGCTGTGCAAGATGATCACTATGACATGGATGTTGGTCTGTTCATCTTTAATGACTTTACAGGCAGATGCAAACAGATGGGGCCGTGGGGATGCTGTTGTTTTTATTGATGAGGTGCTTTATATTGATTTAAGAATTGATGAAAATGCTTTTTTCTTTCTCCCTATTCACTTTCCTGCTTTGTTTCCCCCCCCCCTTTTCCCATTCGAGTCAAGCATGAGTACTATGTTTTAAATAGCAGTTTTCACGAGCTCTTCAGTTTCGTTGCCAGCTTGGAAGGTAGGCAGTGGAAATAATTTGTTTCATAAAAAAATCGTTGCGTCAGGATTAAGATATCTAAATACAATATGTTTTTCACACCAACTCTCTGCAACATGTTAATGTGCTTACATCAGTATTTCCTTATATCAATAACGGCTTGAAGAGAAAGAAAATATTCTGTGGCCCAGCTTTCCCTTTTTTCACTCTAGAGTGAGATGAGTTTGGATGCAGGTGAAAACTGTAAAATAAATAAATAAATAAAATAAATAAGCGTGCTATTACCTGCCGTAATAATCAGTAGGATAATATTTTGCAAGAGTCCTGGCTGGTGTAGTTTTAACTCACGCTGCTAAACTTCACTTTGCATCTGAAAGCGCTTTCACCAGCGCTGTAAATCAGTGCTGCCCTAGTCAGAGCAGGGCTGGTTTGTGGGATGCCCATAGGGCTGCATTTCTTTTGGTGTTTGAAAAAAAAAGAAAAAAAGCAGTCCCTGCAGGGAATCGTGCTGATGATGGGAGTTGACGGCAGCGATGTGTCTGTCAGCAAACGGCCTTACCGACTGACGCGTGCTCAAATTGGCCGTATGATGCTGGCCGAGGTGGTAAAATGCTGAATACAGTGGGTTTTGTAAAATGTTGACTTTGCAACAATTTCTAGCGCGTCCTCTCGCGTGTGCCTTGCTTGGTGGTTAGATCTTTGACACCCTTTTCCAGCCTTTGTTGCACGAAGCGTTGAGCTCTCGGGGAGGCGATTGCTGCAGAGATGTGAAGTTTTCACTTGCTTTATTTTCCATCTGTTGGCAAGGCCAGTCTCAATCATCTTTTGTCGACGTTGCACGTATGGGTTGAAAATTAATCTCTTTGGAATTCAACATGATGAATGTTTTATTTAGAAGGGTTTTTTTCCCTTTTTTTTTTTTTGTCAAGTTCCCATAAATACGTTGACAGAGAAGTTTTAACGCGAGACAGGCTAGCTGATTTTATTGGAAAACTAGAAGCTTCTGAAAGTAATAAGCTAACTGGATCATTGAAAAACCCAAGACCGTTGTGATAATTTGAAACCTGAGTGTCGTATTAAGTGACGGCTTTAAAATGTAATTCAGTACAGTAATGCTATGTGGAGGGTTGTAACCAGACTGGCTCACATTCGTCAGTGTGAATTTATGTCTTTTGGTACCACTGATCTGAAATGTGTCGTCTTCTACCACGTCAGAGAGTTGGAGAATTAGAGTGTTAAGTTTACTGCTTATAATAGCATTTTTTCTTCTCCCTACATCCTGGCCTGTGGAGAATTAATTTTTTGTTCTTTATTGTTTACATACTGAGATGCAGCTTGAATCGAGAGGCCTTTGAAGAGCCCTGGGGTCAGCAGGCCTTCAGGGGCCTGTAAATTAGCCCCCACATCACCAGTAAGAAGAATTATTTTAGAGAAGGACTTGTTTCTACGACTTGCCTGAGTAGGCCCAGCTAGAACAATTTTGGTAACGGGGCACGAAAGCAAAGAAGATGAAGTCTGTGTGCTTCAAATCAACCCTACAGACCTCCAGAAGTAATGAAAGCAAATTTGTTTAATTAGCCAAGCCAGCAGAAATGGTTGTGGAAGTACTCAAGGAGTAACCTGCTTGGTAGGAAGGTGCCATTTTTCTTTCGTTCTTTGTCAGAGGGAAATCACATTTGAAGCTGCAATTAGTACACCTTTCTTTCTTTTGCTGCCACCCGCTTTGGTGCCGTCGTTGCAAACGCCGCGCTGGCAGCCGTAGCGGATCACAGGACAAAAAACTTTGGGGTGGTTTCCAAAGTTTTCCTTTCCTAGAGTTCAGCCAGCGCGGCGAGGCAGGTTCGGGAAGCGAGACGTTACGCCCTTCAAGATGCAGGTCCCTAATTCCCGCTAGGACAGTCGAGATGCACCGAGCCCCCAAGTAATTACCGGGACTTGATGACACCACCACACATGCAATAAATGAATAGGGGCATTTTGGAAGGTATTCTGCTGGAGAGGATTCCTGGAAAAACTAATTGCATTTACAAATTGACAAAGAATACATGTCTCATTTCCCTTCATTACGTATTGCGGGTGGTGGCAAAGTGTAAAAGTCCGGTAGCCTCCATCATCCTTCACCGGCGCCTGCTTGCAGCGGGAAAAGGCCGGCGTCCCCGAGCCGGGAGCTCGTTTCACGCCAGAGGAGGGAACCGCGCTGGAGCCCGCGCGATGTCTGCTGTAACATTTGTTTGGCGGCGGGTGGGAGGGATTTCTTGTTTATTTGTTTCAGCTGGCAGCTGAAAGGCACTTGGCTCTTCGGGGTAATCAGGGTTTTGCATATGCTTTCCGGAGCGTGTTTATTAGCAGACAATTGAAGAGCAGATGTCTGCAGTCTGGAGGCTTCGGGCGAGAGGTGGAGGGGACCGATCGCGTTTTGCATCGCAAAAACGCCGTTGAGCCCGGCTCGGTCGAGCGCCGCTCGGATAGCGGGTGTTAAGGCCACCGGGGTATCCGCTTATTAATATCAGCCCCACTTCATGAAGATCAAGCCGCTGGCGGCGTGCTCGCCGGGTGGGACGTACCGCCACGCGTCGGTGACGCCGGCATCGCTGCCTGCCGCTGCAAAGCCTGGGAAGGAAGGAAGGAAGGAAAAAGCAAAGTGTTACAAGGAAAAAGAAAAAGCGGCGTTTGACTCTACCGACGCTGTTTGCGATGCAAAGAATAAAGTTGAACGCTCGGGTGTGCGCGTGGTGCAAGGCATTGCAAAGGCTGCTGGTTTCTTGGTATTCCGGATTGCTCAGAAAAAGGGAAAAGTTTGGCGATTGGATTTAACAATTAAATGATTATGTTCTTCTAAACTGATCCCCACCATCCAAAAGTGTTTTTTTTTTTAACCTATTAGCATTTTTGGAATTTCCTTTATCCTCTTTTTATTTTGAAAATATTGTGAGGGCTCAACAAAGTCGCCACAAGGATCCAGGCACTTGATTCCTACAGAGCATCTAAATCCTTCGGTCATCCCAAGGCCAGACTCTCCTCTTTGAGTAGAGTTCATAAAAGCCTACCTGTAACTGATACAAAACTGTGACTACAATTAAACTCTACCTCCCTGATAAGCCCTTTTTATTAGTTTAGGATTTGCACAGTTATAGTAACTAATTTCTTTTTAAAATATGCTGTAATATATTGTAGTTGTGTCCTGTAAAATTAATATTAAATATACAGAATGTATTATTTTGGAAACAAAAGGAGTGAAGGAGTGTGCCAATCAAATTAGCTTGTTACTTATATATTGTATGTTTAGAATATGTTATATAGTATCAGGTGTGCTAAGAAAAATATGTGGACTTTTCTTGTATTCATAGGGTAATGCGTTATTATTGAAGAGATGAAAAAACGCAAGCTATCTAATGGCCTAAATAACGCTAAAAAAAGGAGAGCTG